GGGGGGCTTACCAACCCCAAAGTTTGAGTGATAGTGTATTTTCCAAAGCCATTACAATAATGCTTAATGTACACAGTCATACATGTACTTCATCATTTATTCTGGGAGGGACAATAGAACAATGGAACAAGAAGCTGAACTATGGGCTTCTTTAGCTTGGTTGAAATAATTTAAATTTTAAAATAATATGGTATCATTAGTATTGTATTTTGTTTCAAATTAGTATGAAATGCAACATGATTAACAAATCCTCTTAAGTTTGGTCATGGACCAATTCCCTTCTGTTGAAAAACCTGCTTGAAACGAACACTGGTCAACCTGGGTGTTAATTTGGCAATTCCTCAAACAACCAATAAATTGAAAGAAACAAAAACAACACCAAAAACAACAACAACAAATAACAATAAAACTGTTCAATGTCTTGCAAAATCAGAGTGATGTCTAGAGTGATGTCTAAAAGCATGAAAAAAATTATTGGCTGTGGTGCAAAACCTACTTCTTAAAATGCGCGCAACTTGGACAAATGTGAGGGAAAGGCTGAAGTCTTTAAGAACAAAATCTCTGAGTGATTTGATTAAGGTTATTTCAAGATATTTCCCATCATCTCAAATACCTCACTATTGTTAACATGGCACAATTGCTGCAGGTTTCATTTTAAGTGCTTGTGTGCTCTAGATGCCTGATAATTCTAATGTACCATTTGATTACGGGGGAAACGGGAGTATCTTCTGAAATACAGGCTCATGCTTTCTGGCTGTTGGGATAATGATGCCCAGCGCTCCAGATTTTTATAGACCATCGGTGTCTGCGCATTCTCTGATAGCTGTGATAAATAGCCAGTCACAAAAGGCCTGTAAAAATCCCCCTCCCTTTTAAAGGACAAGTACATTTTGCAGAGAATGTGGGAGCTGAAGCTGGGGGGGCAAGACAATGACTGATGTAAGGCTGGCGGGATTTTTCCAGGAATGGACGGGGACTGCAGATCTGCCTTTCTCAGAAACAGCTTTCTATGGAAGGGGAGAGAATCTTAGAACAATGTCAGCCTATTTCAGCAGTTTCAAATCTCTGCAGCTGAGACGTTCGCAGCAAGTTTCTCTTGCTGAGCTCACATCTCCTTGTCACAAGCATAGCATTTCTCCCCCTCCCTCGAGGGCGCAGCCATTTTCCGTCATCCACAGAATCATTTAGGCTTAAGGTGTCTCGCTGGATGCTATCAGCCCACTCACCTGTTGATATGAGGCCCTTTGCACAGCTGACTGAATTAAGTGGATTGCAGTGAGTAGGCACTTTCGCCAGTGTTTATCTGTGCTGAAC